TTACATCCTTTGGTGTGTTCAAACAAATGTTTGTTGCACAGTTTTTCAATGCTCAAAAACCATAGAAAAATTTGCAGGACCTTCTACGGATATGACAGAAGTAGAATGAGAGTTTTCACTCGTTTATCACTCAATTCTAAAAGGAGATGTTAGAACAGAGAGATCTATAACCTATAATATCTCATGTTATTCTAGCTCAAGGGTAGAAGAAATGAACTTTTTGGTATGCATTGGGCATACAACGATCGAAGATACTGGCTGAGTTTTTAGAGTTGGACAAAAATCATATTTCATTAAAAAGTGTATAACTCCACCCATGTTTGCTCCACAACATAGCCCTTCGCTCGTCGCCCGCAAAAGAATGCCTCTGAATGCGACATATGGAGATCAAATGATGATTCCCATTCTTCCAACCACCAGTGATACATAAGTACTCGCCCGCCCTAGGATAACTGAACAACTGACAAAATTTACCATTGAAAGAGCATGGACCGATACCTTGACCAACAAGTAGATTGATACAACGAGCGCTTGTTGCACAATCATTAATTTCCCAAGATGACTATTGAAGTTTCGATGACCGAGATAGTGAAAAGCTCCGATGGAAGAAATTTTGATCGAGCCAGTCCGAGCTCATGTCATCCACATTGTCAACATTGTTTCAGCCATCTTCAGAGGATGCATATACTCATCCTGTCAAGCTAGCCTAAAGTGTTTTCAGTTAAGATAATTATGCATAACCGTCATCACTCAAGCTCAACTAGCAACCCCTCATCATCTTCATTGATGAGGACCTACCCTCTAAGGGGAATCCCTACAACGATGTTATCATCGTCACTACAATAATCAATAACTATCATATTGGGAATATCCTTATCGATACTGATAACTCTATGAATAGATTATTCAAGTTAGTGTTCTATAAGATGGGTTTCAGGAATGACCAACTTATTGTTGCCACAAACTCACTTTATGATTTTTCAATAAATGAAAGAAGAATTGAGCATCATCATGCTGATGATCATCTGGGTAGAAAATGATATATAATTTACCAACATGGAAGATTTCAAAGTGGTGAACTTGTCATCCACGTTAAACACCATTTTTCGTCTGTGCCATGCTCAACAACTTCAAGTTTGCTCCTTGACTTATTAGGTGGCTATGAAATTCCCAGACGATGGGGAAATAGTAATTATTTGAGGCAACTTTAAGCAACCCTGCACCTATTACTTCTTAATAGTCAGAACCATCATGTAATAGCCACTTGAGCTCAAAATTCTGTGTGAAGGGAGTGTCGAGACCAGCAAGACCACCCTTGAAATCCCAACAATCAAAGGCAGGCCTGATAGAAATTTGTTCTAATAAGCGAAGCCTTTGATGCATGGTCGAAAGATATGTTGATCAATACCCTCCAAAAAAAATTGAGATGTCTTTGCCTGGTCCACCCTCAAGGTTCCATTAATACCAATCGATGTTGTGTGCCGCTGCTTAAACATAAATTCAGTGGCCTGACTAATAAAGCAGAAAATGAGGTCCTTGGTCATCACTCTTGTTGAGCGAATTCAAAAAGAGGTGAAGAAGCTGCTAGAAGCCGACTACATTCAAGAAGTTCAATACTTTTGATGGTATCAAACATACTCATGGTCCAGAAAGTGAATGGCAAATGGTGAATGTACATTGACTTCAAAAACCTAAATATCGCTTGCTCGAAAAACAATTACCCTCTGCCAATGATCATTGCACTCTTCGATGCAGTGGTTAGTCACTTACTAATAAGTTTCCTTAAAGCTTTTTTCTGGCTATCTCCAAATCAAGATGAACCCAACCAATGCAGAGAAGACATCATTCATCAAAAGCAAGGTTGTGCAATGTTACAATATAATGACATTTGGGTGAAAAAATATTGGCGCGATATACCGACAAATGATGGATGTAATCTTTTCAAAGAAAAATAAAAAATATTAAGATATAAGTGTATGATGTGTTGGTAAAAAGCAAAATAGCTTAAAAACATATTAAAGATCTAAATTTTTTTTTCGAAACACTTTAATTGGGATGACATCTTCTCGAAACACGAAGGAAGTTCAAAAAATGATCTCTGGATTGTAGGCCTAAGCCGATTCATCTCAAAATCGGGCAATATGTGTGCCGCCTTTTCGGAGCCTTCAGGCGGGAAAAGAAGTTCATTTAGACAGATGAATGCAAATAATCATTCAGAAAGCTGAAAGACTCCCCAGCATCGTCACCACTCTTCCAGAGCCCAAAGTCGAACAACGAGCTCTCCTTATACTTAGTGGTGGGACCTGAAGTCATCAATTTGGTTTTAGTGCAAGAGGTGCTAAGGAAGCAATCTCAGTTTACTATGTCAGTTGAGTCCTCCAAGGAGCCGATCTCAAGTATCAAATTATGAAAAAAAAACTAGCAATTACTCTCATTATTTCAGCCTGTAGGCTTCATCCTCAACACCGACCACCCACTCAAATTTGTCCTCTTTAGGCTGGAGCACTCAGTTGGCTCCTCTGATGGGTAAAGTACTCGTATCTCTTTTATCTTCTAAACTATAATCAAATCACAAGCCATGACTGATTTTTTAGCATTTTTTAAAATCAAGCAAGTCTGGCAAAGAAGTGATAGTTATATCCATGTGGGTCTTCTACATCGACGAAGTGTTTAATCAGACTAGGGTAGGGTTTGTCCTTGCTCTAACTAACTTGATAATGTAGTACTTGTTACACACAATAAAAGTTGAATTCAAAGTTTCCAACCATGCTAAATATGAAACCTTAATTGTCAGGCTAAGATTCATTTATGAGGTGGGCGCTCGGTATGTTCTAGTAAAATATGACTTTGCAACTAGTGGTGAATCAAGTGAATGTAGAATTTGAGGTTAGGGACAAAATGATAGATAATTTCTCAGTAAAACCAAAATTGAGATGGAAATACTGGGGCTTCAATATCAAGCATATCACCCAATAAGAGAACCAAGTAATAGATGTCATATCCAAATGCATCCACTAGGGAGACAAAATAGCTTAAATGCTCGACCCACAAACCATCAAGGAAGCCAAAGCAATGGAATTAGAAACTTAAGGACTAAAAAGCTGGGTGAATCCTTACATCTATATCTCGAGACCGAGAAGACCAAGAAGAAGTTACCGATCTATAGCCCTTCAAAATAAAAGTAGCCTAATATATTTTGATCGAGGGATAAATTTTCCAATGATCAATCACATCATTGTACATGAGGTGTATAAAAGAAAACGAGGCAAAAAAAACCATCCGAGAGGTACACTCAGAGGACTGTGAAGGCCACTCCAGAGGAAAAATTTTAGTATGTCCAATGTAACAACAGGGTTATTTTTAATCGACATATCAAAAATATACCGTGGAGCTCTCAAGGTGATGCAAGCAATGTAAAAAATATGCATTGTTGCAACCTCAACCAACACACAAACTACAGTCGATCGTCATCCCATGGTCTTTCACCATCTCAACACTAGACATCCTTGAACCCTTTCTCCCATTGAGAGGCCAACACTAATTTTTTTTCTTTTTTTTTTTTGCGCACTGTTTTTCCAAATAGATCAAACCTAAGGTGCTCATCTAGATCACAAAATAGTTCGTTAAATACTTCATATGGAAAAATTTGATCTATTGATATATGCTACCACTGGTGATCATTATATATAAAGGGACACAATTTGCCCACCAAGGGATAAAAATTTTTTGTTAGAGTTAGAAGATCAACATGAAGTTTGTGTCTGTTCACTACCCTCAAACAAATGGGTAAGTCGAAGCAGCTGACTAGAACATCTTAAACTTGCTGAGGAAAAAAGTTGAAGGATCAAATGGGAATTGGGTCGAGAAACTTCCGTCTACTCTTTGGGCGACAGTTCAGATGATACCTTCCATAGCAACTGAGCAGACTTCATGCTTGCTATCGCATGAGATGGAAGTATTGTTGCCGGTCGAATACAATTATCATAGCCAAAGAGTGATGACAATCTTAATATTTGGCAAAGCAGATTTTGCTTAGTGGCTGGAAGAAAATGATGAGGGAATAATGCTCACGCTTGACCTTATCAAGGAGAAATGAGCCAACTCAGCCCTTTGGTAGGAAAAAGTTAAGAGGCAGACATATCGATACTCTAACAAACACGTTGGAGAGAATAACTTCACCCCCAAGGACCTCGTGTTGAAGAAGTTGACCCAACCACACGAGGACAAACTGTGCTAAAGCTTGAATTGATGTGGATCCAGCCATTCATCATCGACAAACAGATCACCTCAAAACATACAAGGTGAAAACCTACACAGGAAACATGGATCGAAGATGATTTGAAGAAATTCTATTCTAGAAAAATTTGTATAGATTGACAAGTAAAAAATATGTTATCATTCCAAACTTTGCATTTCATTATATATATATATATATATTAAAAAAATCCTAAGAATTTCGTCATGTAGAAAAGAAATGAATTCAACTTTTATGAAAGAAAAATGCCACTAATTTATAATTAAAACCAGAAGCCCTAAATCCAATTCACGAGTTTCCTCTGGATCACTTGTTCGGAGCTCCCTTTGAAGGGTCGGTACGCCGTCGAAGCACACCGGCCGTCGTCGTCGAAGCCCCGCATCGGAGCTACCTGAGCCGAGTCGCAACTCCCATCTTTCTCCTCTTTCTGATCTGCTCCCACCAGAAACATTTAGGGTTGGAGTTCAACAAATTTGTAGCTTCTTCTTGAGATCGAGTAAACATCTTCGTTTCACTCGGTTTCTGTCAATTATCATTCAGTGATCCCTTGCTGTTCTCCATTATTTTTTTTTTCACTCCTAACCATAATAGCGTTTTGGATCCGTGTAACCCTTTGCTCCTGGATCAGTGAAGTAATTATAGAAATATCTCTGTTTCTGCTTGCATTGCTGCATGATATAGTAGATCTGAGTGTCGGTCTTGCTGCTACTCTGGATTGAAGGTATTTTCTTTGTATTTTAAATTCTCTTCAGGTTTTATTTGGTGTTTTTGTACTTTGTAGAGTTGTTTGGAAACTAATGATTTTTTCTGAAATCAAAATCGTCATATACAAGGTAGGTTTAAGAGGATTTGTGATGCTATAAGCAAATGCTGATTTCTCTCTAAACCAACTATATGATGGGAGCAGCAAATTTTGTTGTATTTTCAAAACATGCTGTCAATTTCAAGAAACTAAATGGGGGCTTTGTATATATTTCTGCTCGCATCAATTATTTCTATTTTTTTACTCTTCTTTTTTCCTTAATTGTTTAATTTTAGGAGACGGGGGAATCCGTTCTATTTTGTCTTGATGCTTGTACTAAGCACCAGTGATGCACCTTGCCTTCTGAGTTGAATATGGAAAATCCGTATTTTTGTTAAATTTAGTGCGTTAACTATTGAGTTAAACATAAATAAGCTCAATTTCAATGCTTAAAATTATTGTTCCTATTCGATTCCTTTCTAAACATGTCTAATTAATCAAGCTGATGATCATCAAAGGCTCCAGCATATCAATTGATGACTTCCCTTGTATATTAAAAAAAAAAACTGTTAAATTCTTACAATGTGACTTCTTTTAAGCATCCTAGGATATAAAGTATGTATTGTCATGCCTGTTTTTGTATTGAAAAAATATAATTTTATATACATATAAACTTTTATACTTGGTTCAATGAGCTCAACACTATCAGAAATATCCAGCAATTTTTTTCCGGACTCCTCTACTTGTGTTATGTGCTTTCTCTGAACTTATGAAATAACATGTAATCTTGACAGGTTTTCAGGTTTTTAGAACCATGGCAACCATAAAACTTGAAGCGGCAAAACAGTATTATGCTACCAGTAGCCTTATTGTGGGATATGCTCTGTGTTCGAGCTTGCTTGCTGTCATTAACAAATTAGCCATCACAAAATTCAATTATCCTGGTCTCTTAACAGCATTGCAATACCTGATTTGTGCTTCTAGTGTATGGATCCTTGGAAAATTGGGTTTTCTCCACCATGATCCTTTCACCATAGAAATAGCCAAAAAGTTTTTACCTGCGGCCACTGTCTTCTATCTTGCTATATTCACCAACACGAATCTCCTCAGGCATGCTAATGTTGACACTTTTATAGTGTTTCGCTCTTTGACACCACTATTGGTAGCCATTGCTGACACTGCATTTAGAAAACAGCCATGCCCTTCAAAACTCACATTTTTATCTCTGGTGATTATACTAGGTGGTGCTATTGGGTATGTGATGACTGATTCAGCTTTCACACTCACTGCATATTCGTGGGCTTTTGCTTATTTGATCACAATCACAACAGAGATGGTCTACATAAAACACATGGTGACGAACCTTGGGCTCAACACTTGGGGCTTTGTCTTCTACAATAATCTTTTATCCTTGATGATGGTACCAATATTTTTGGTGTTGACTGGGGAGTATGCTGATGTTTTGACTGCTGTTGGATTGGGATCTGGGCCTTGGTTTGATTTTGGGACATTTGTTGCAGTTAGCTTGTCCTGTGTGTTTGGCTTGCTCATCAGTTTCTTTGGTTTTGCCGCAAGGAAAGCTGTCTCGGCTACGGCTTTTACGGTGACAGGTGTTGTGAATAAGTTCCTCACAGTTGCAATCAATGTTCTGATATGGGATAAACATGCCTCTCCATTTGGCTTAGTTTGCCTACTTTTCACTCTTGCTGGTGGGATTCTCTATCAGCAATCAGTTACCGGTAGTACAATGCCTTCAGCACAACATGATTCTGCAGTTGCTAAGCAGGCAAAAGATATGGCTGGGGACAGTGATTCTGATGCTGAGAACCAAATATCGAGTATCTCGCGAAAAGATTCCAATGTATGAAATTAGTATTTTTTTTCTTTTTTTTATTCGCTAGTAGGGTTCGTTTGTCATGTTAGAGAGAAATGAATTATGTAATGCTTTTTTTTGAAATATTTAGGTAAATAAATTTTCATGGTTGATAATATCTCAATTCTCATTAGCCCCTGCTACTTCCATCAGATTATTTTATCATATGAGATTTTATATGCTTCTATAATTCCTAAGGTGGAGACATGAAGCATTTTAATTTAATCTTTTCGGCATAGCTCTTATACTTAGTTGATGAGATTAGAACCTGTGTATCATGATATGTTGCACCCTTATGCTTTACAATGCAGAACTAGATTGGAATAGAATGGTAGAATATCCTAATTGGAAGATTCTAATGTTTTGAAAAGTGTGTGGAAAAGCATTAACAATGATCATGACTAAAATAACTGTTCAAAGTACCCGAAAATAAGACATAATTTCAAGTATTGACGCAATTGATTTCATTCATAACACACAGAAAGGTCTTCTTCCCTAGATTATTTTATCATATGAGATTTTATATGCTTCTATAATTCCTAAGGTGGAGACATGAAGCATTTTAATTTAATCTTTTCGGCATAGCTCTTATACTTAGTTGATGAGATTAGAACCTGTGTATCATGATATGTTGCACCCTTATGCTTTACAATGCAGAACTAGATTGGAATAGAATGGTAGAATATCCTAATTGGAAGATTCTAATGTTTTGAAAAGTGTGTGGAAAAGCATTAACAATGAACATGACTAAAATAACTGTTCAAAGTACCTGAAAATAAGACATAATTTCAAGTATTGCGCAATTGATTTCATTCATAGCACACAGAAAGGCCTTCTTCCCCTAGTTTTAGAAACAAGAATAAGAATTCAAATACTTACTTTCAAATGTTTACTCCATAATCTGTTTCTCTTATTTTCCTTCTCTTTTTATATTTGTCGCAGCTAGACATCATATCTTCTAATAATCTTTATTTCTTCAATGCGATAAATATCTTCTAATAATATTTATTGATAATTATTTATATGATGCGATTAAGATTGTATATTATATTTGTATATGTTCTACTAATTTAAGTTATTTTCTTTCTAATATTCTTTTTTTATAATTTTAAATTTTCACTTATTTTAGTGGATATACATAGACTAGAATTTTTTTATTATTCTAAAGTTTCACGTGTTTTGGTGGATATATCAGACTAGAATTATGTTATTTGGAAAAACAATACACCTATGCATCTCTCTTTAATGTTCATTTGTAGGTATCTCCATGTCGATGCTAAGTGAATAGACTGAATGATAATCCTTGCTGTGATTGGAATTTTTATGAACTAGCTAGTGCTCTTTAATATTTTTATCTTTGATATGCTTTTTCATTAATTGTTTTAATAGAAATATTTCTTCTACAATTGATTTTCCTAATATGAAATCTAATTGTATCTTTGAAACTATCATAAATTTTCTAATTTTATATTTTATTTCTTGCTTTCATAAATTTACTGTATGATTCATAAATTTGATTTATCTATAGAAATCAATATGTGGAATATGTTTGTTTTTAAAAAGTATTTCTTCGCTTATTTGGACATTTTCTTAGTTTTCGAAAGTCTTGAGGAGAACTGATTATGCTCTTAGAGCGAGCAACTTTACCTAACTCTCTCTTGTAGGGGTGCTAGTTTTGCTTTTCCTATGCTTGAGAAATGAAGTCCATGCTTATCAGTAGTGCAAGATAGCTCCTAACTTAACCAAATACTCCTTTTATACTATCGTGGTAGAAAGGCATTTAGAGACAAAATAGCGCACATTATGTGCTATAACGAATAACTCATATATTGTGTGTTATTTTGTTAGTTTAGTTTTATGAATTGTTCTTTTTTAATTGTCTTGAATATAGCACTATTGTGAGAGCTGGTGGTGTGTATCAAAGAATATAAAACATTCAATATTGATCTAAAAAAGATTATGACATGAAGATGATTAGGGTGATAAGAATTTAAGTGATAAATATAAAGACGATGATGACTTTTGCTATCACTACGGTCTTGTTTGAGCAGACCTTACCTTTGAGAAAATTTAATTTAAAAGCAACATTCGAAAAGCTCCCTTTTAAAGTTACGGTTGGTAAAACGAGATGACTTTGAATACAAAATTTGGTGTGTATTTTTAAACTCTATTATAGAAATTAAAGACTATAATAGCTTCCGTCATCTCTGAAAATCCATTCGCAGTGGGTGTTGCTAGCGAATCTACCGCAGGGATAATGGGCTTCCTCATGGCGAGCGGGAAAGGATGCCAGATCTAAAGCTTAGTGCTTCAAGTAGCAAGCATGTAATGATTTCCAGACATGGAGCATTGCACCAATGGCTTATTGTGGCACTGGAGACACACACTGGCGGTGGACACCTTGACATTGCTGAAGCTCGAATGAAGAATTTTCATACACGCATAAGACAGATTGGAGCGATCGTCGGAGGGGGGGGGGGACCATTCCACATAGCAGGAAAAATTACATACATATTAAGAATCAAACACACATATTTCTACTTTCTTTCACTGATTTAAGGGACGATCTTTGAATCTATCGATGCGACGCTGGCGAGGAAGAACAAAGAGCCAGAATGAGAGAAAAAATGAGAAATGTGGAAGAGGTGGAGGTGAAATAGGAAAACCAACAAGTGGAAACGAAGGAGGCCGAAAAGCGGGAAATGCCGAAGAGATTGCCTGCGAATCACTCATCCTTTAGGGTATTTTTGTTCTTTCGTTCTCCGAAGCAACGTAGGTCCAGAACAGTGTAACAGAGCTCTAATGCCGCGATCCCAATACTGTGATAAATGTTGTTGCGGTAGAAGCATTTCTGGGAAAAGTTGGATCAGCTGGGTGAGCGTTCTTGCCACGTTCTTTGCAGTGGAATGGGGTAGCACCACTCTCTCAAACGAGGCCTACATTAGCTTTTGATGAATATGAGCGTTGTAAACTAAATATTTCGTATGCTCTTAAGCTCAGCTCTAAAATTTAATATTTTATCTTAATATTAGCTTTGTTATTATGATAGTTTTATTTATAAATTTAATTATTTTCTTTATAATGACGGATGGACTTTAAATTTGATTATTTTTTGGTCAACTTTCACACACATTTTTCCATGCTAAATTGTGTGACATCGAGTGTGTTTGTATGTGTGTGTGTATTTTTTTCTTAGATTGTTGAATTGATTATTTTTTGGTCAACTTTCACACACATTTTTACATGCTAAATTGTGTGACATCGAGTGTGTCTGTATGTGTGTGTATTTTTTTCTTAGATTGTTGAATTATTAATAAATTATTCATATTTTATGTAACTTTTTTTCTTAAATAGCATTTCATGTTATGTGCTATATGGTATAGCTATAGGAGGCTCTTACAATATAGTGCATTATTCTCTACTGTCAACTGTGTGAAAGTCTAATTCCCACACACGATATTGATGCTTAATTTCCACACGAGATGCAAGAGGAGCATCCACTGTTACATTTAGAAGGATGGGTGTCCTGGCTTAGCACTTCTGGGAAACCATTGCTCTATTCCCATTCCTAGGGAAATAAACTAACATAACTCCTACTACTGTGGCGGATTAAGTTGATTAGCGAGCACTTTAAGGTAAGTTTGTTAGCATTTAGTGATTTGTTATTTTAGCTGATAATTAATTTTATTTTTCCCCTAAACGCATGCCTAAACGCACGGACACTGTATATGCAAGTCCTTGAACCCATAACCTCTTGGTTGAAAGATAAACCTCATAACCTCTTGGTTGAAAGATAAACCTCTTTAACCAGTAGGCCAAAGTGACTTGCATTGCCCACGAATAGTTGTTTACTGTAAGGTTGTTATAAGTTAAAGACATGGTGGAATGAATTGTATTGATGTATCTTTATTTGTATAAAAATGTCATTGAGTTCTTATAGATTTGTGACATTCTTTTGATGCTAGTGAATTACTCACTTTTATAAGTGGATTTGAAGATATTTGTTTTTATTATGATTGTTTTTTCTATTCACCAAGCAATCCTCCTTTGGCATCAATTATGAGCAAGTTTTCATGACACTAAAATTCTTATAAAAAATCTTTATCAAGCAAAAGCGTTACAAGTTGTTGCCACATTAATTCGTTTTCGGTCTTTTGTTTTTAAGCTTATGAACCTGCAATCTTCTTGATGATGAAGTACCTTTCCCATTGTCACTAAAAATTTTATTAGGAATCAAACCTTTTTATCGACCTATGGTATAACCCAATTGATATATTGCAGTCCCTTAATTGAATTAGCATTGCCATGCGCAATCTTCTGTTTTCTCAAATTAATTGGTAAACCTTTGCATCCAAGTAGTTTTGGTTGACTCAACACGAGTTTAGTTATGCCACATGTGATGTCTTATGACATAATTCAGCCTAATGCATGCCTTCTTGATTTGATTAACGTTCCTCAATGTCAGTTGAATTGGTTTTGCGTTAGTTGACGGGATTTGATTCAGCCCAGCCCTATCCTGTTTGTGATTGATCTGGTAAAATCAATCAGACCTCGCGCCTTCTATAAAATCTGCAATCGATTCTTTTAAATCAGTTGATCATTAATCAATTTAATGGGCTTTTATGTCTAATTCAATGATCTCCCATACCTTCGGCTATGCTAATTGATCATTGCGGGCCTAAATTGTGCGCAATTAGATTTCATTCATTCCAATCTTGAGCCTAACACCCATCTAGCTCATTTGGTTGCTTGGCAATCATAACTTGATCTTATTTAACTTTCCCGCACTTGAATGAAGGATTTGGGCATTTTGTGGTTCAATTTGTTGACCTTCACTCTCTGTCATAGTTTGGGTTTTGTTTATTTTGAGCTTAGGTTGCCATGAATTTAATATCATATTTCAATTCATGCTGTTCAACTACTTGATTATTTTATAGAAGCCAATTGATTTCTCGGCCGAGTCTTAATGGATGCACCAATTTAGGAAGCCTGATTATTGTTTGTGAGTATTTCATCGGATTTACTAAAGTTGACTATTGTTGAAGGCCAAAAAAGGTTTTTGGAATTTTGACCTCCCTGAATTGGGCCAACTTAGCCTATATGTAGGACTTAATCTAACTCAGTTTTGAGTTCCTTAAAATTGCTTGGCTTAATCCCATTCAGTCAAATTCATGTTAAATTTACTCAAAGCTTTCCGTAAAGATTCTAAAGCTTAATTTGAAGTTACTTCATTTGAAGTCAACCAATTTGACTCTAGCTTGTGTGATTCTACCTAGGACTAGCCTAAGATCGTTCACGCTTAATTTAACATTGCTTGAGTTTAATGCATGGACTCAAAGCATGAATTTATTCCTTGAAATGATCGACCTCATCAATAATGTATGTAAATGAATTCCATATATGCTAAACTTAATTATATTCCTATATAAATTTGTCTAGATGTGACTTTAAATAGTTTATCAGATTAGTGTACATGTTGCATTAATTTGATTTTACTCACCTCGGCTCCACATGTCATTGTAAACGACAACAAAACTCATGATATTTTCTCTATACTTATTGGCCTTTCTTCCTACTTACTTCATAGGGATGGTCAACATCGCCAAGAAATATAATTTTAAAGTTAGTATACTTCCTCTTAGTTTAATATTATTGCAATCATATTTTATGCTAAATTTACTTTCTCCTGCAGTCATTCTATCCAGATTATGCACGTATATGAATTTGATATCATGTTGTAGTAGTTTTTTCTTATCCAAAAATTGTCAAGTATGTTTCAGTAACCAGTATCGTGGTTGATGCTGAGTTGATAATTGTGCTGTAAATTAATTTATTTGGAGTTATGCAGTATATGATAGAGCAGATTCATTGTAAGAAGATCGTGAGGCTCACCTAATTGGACAAATCAAGTCATACGAGCCAAGTCAACTAAGCCACATGATCGGACTATACAAGTATTAGCCATTTGACCGAAAATGAGACAAGATGGCATACCAACCATCCATTGCAGGAAAGCCGACTCGATATAAAGAGCTTGTTCTACAAAGTTTCTCTGACCACCCAACGGAGACTCGGAGACTCCTTAGTCATTACCAGGGATCAAAGACAGGCAACCAGATCAAATCGGCCTACCAAACTCTACCAACCAAGTTGATACAGCAGAGCCAAATCAATAAAGCTTAGCTAGCTGAGCCAGAGGCAATCAGATGATTTGCCAGTGCTTATAAAATAGAGATGCCCTAATATAAATCCTTTCCAAAGAAGGGTAAAAATATAATATCACTAATATACCACTACAATAAATGGAGTAAACATAAAATGAATCATCAATAAATGAAGTAAACATAACATGAATCATCAATGCTGTTCATCTCTCTCTCTCTCCTCATTAATATTTTAGTTATTTGGTGTAATTCACGGACAATGTTGAATTCAACATCCTTATTTTCATAATTAGAGAAAAAAAAAATAAATAAAGAACACATAACAAATATCATCCTCAGAAATTTCACGATGTTCATGCATTTCTCTTAAAAAGGTCTATAGCAAACTTTTAAGAAAATTAACTGTAAAAAACTGCACCTTTTTATAAATAGAGGTCTAAAATATGTGACGTTTCAGAGTTTCTAAGAAAATAAATTGGTGCTTATTTGCTTCATGGTTGTTTCTATTTTTATGTTTTGATGATCAACAAGGGTTTAGGGTATGGTTATTAACCTAAAATACATTTACCTCAAATTACATAAATTAGAACTCCTATGATAATTTCTGCTCATTCCATATTAGACATTTTATTTATTTAAATGCAGATGAGGGCATTTACATACATACCACCCAGTTACTATGTATTTACATATATCTAACATCTAAACTTTATTTTTAACATTTATACCACCCAAAATTTTCATATCACATAAAAATATCTAATTTAACTTTAAAAGGTAAATGCATATTTTCATGCAAAGCAAGCATTCTCTCTCTCTCTCTCTCTCTCTCTCTCTCTCTCTCTATATCGAGGGTATAAGGGGGTTACATCCGCGGTATAACCTCCCTGTAACCTTCTGTAACCTAAAATAGGTTTCGCGCTTCTGTTATCATATATTAAGAATTTATTAGTAGATTACAGGTAAGTTGCAGAAGGTTATAGGGAGGTTACAAGGGGTTACACCGCGGATATAACCCCCTTGTACCCTCATTTTAACCTCAATATCGTACGCAGCACTGCGTACGTCTATCTCACGCAAATTTTTTCCGCGTGTGTCTCTCTCTCTCTCTCTCTCTCTCTCTATATATATCGAGGGTATAATGGGGTTACATCCGCGGTATAACCTCCCTGTAACCTTCTGTAACCTAAAATAGGTTTCGCGCTTCTGTTATCGTATATTAAGAATTTATTAGTAGATTACAGGTAAGTTGCAGAAAGTTATAGGGAGGTTACAAGGGGTTACACCGCGGATATAACCCCCTTATACCCTCATTTTAACCTCAATATCGTACGCAGCACTGCGTACGTCTATCTCACGCAAATTTTTTCCGCGTGTGTGTGTCTCTCTCTCTCTCTCTCTCTCTATATATATAATGTAAATCCATAGAAATAGTGTGGTATATATGTAAATTACTGAAAAAAAAAGGCTTGCAGCTCACAACTTTTCTTAGCACTTTCCTACTACAACACACATAATGAACTGAATGGGAAAAAAACATGCAATTGTCGCAATGAATTCAAAATGAACAAAGGGCATTTACATACATACAATACAATTCTTATGAATTTACATATATATTATTTGTACTTTGATATTTACATCTATTCTACTCAAAACTCTTATATCACATCAAAATTACCACTATTATTAATTTTTAAAAAGTGGAGCACACCTTTTCGAACATGGGTAGAGTGGCATAAATGTAAAAAAATTAAAATTTAGGTGTTAGATATATAATTTCATATGAATTATGTGGTGTATAAGAAAATCATTCAACATCAAACGATAAAACAGAATGATTGATTTTTTTATTAAGTAAAAAAACTATATAAAAACAGGAATATAGTACCATGTGTATTATCATGTGAAAGAATCTTTGGCTTATGGTGAAAGGAGAAATGTTTGCTGCATTTCTCCAAAAACAAAGATTCAATATATATATATATTACTTGAAATGGGGCATTTGCATACATAGAACACAATTCTTATGTATTTACATCTCTATTGCAAATCCTTAATTTCACATTAAAAATAACAATACTATCATTTTTAAAACACGAAAATGTTATGTAAATATGAAAATTACAGCGAGAGAGATAAATACATAAGAATTATGTTCTACAAATGTAAATTTCCATTTTTAAGTTATTGCTCATCATTCTCAATGCCTGTGTGTGTGGGGGTGCGTGGGCGCTTGTGCACTGCATGTCTGTTGTTATATGTATATGGAGTACAGAAAAATCGGGCATACTCGTAAGAGATGGCTTGCATTCCTCCAAAACATACCATTTTCTTAACCATTGTCAACTGTAAATGATATCACTAAAGTGCGGCAACTTCAACTCGAATTACAAGCCCATATTTCTATGAAATTTTTGGATTTGATCTCTGCTTTTCTTGGAATCAATATCAATTGAACCCAGTATGGCTATCATCTTAATCAAAAGAGCTATGTTCATGAGATCTTAAGTCGTGCTGGAATGATAGCATGCAATCCGGCGCCCATCCCTCCACCTATTTCCATAAAAAATTCCAATGATTCCATTGATTTCTTCCCGAATCCATCCCTACATCGACAGCTTGTAGGATCACTCCAGTACCTTATCTTGACGAGACCAGACATTATGGTCGTCGTTAACTCTCTTTCCCAACATTTTCAAGCTTCGTTTTAGTGTCATTATCAGCAACTTGAGCGTCTTTTGAGGTATTCACATGGCACTTCAGATTTAGGCCTACCGTTCAAAGCTAGTCCAATTACTCTTCACACCTATGTTGATGCAAGTTGGGCTAGTGATGTGAGTGATCAAATATCTATTAGTAGCTATTGCATCTTTGTTAGTCCTAATCTTCTCTCGTGGAATGTAAAGAAGCAACCTTCGGTTGCACGATCCTCCAGTGAAGTGGAATATTGCTTCATCTCTCTAGCTGTGACATAAGTTATATGGCTACGGTGACTTCTACAAGATTTTCAAGTCTCTCTTCCTATTGCTACAACCATCTGCTGTGATGACATATCCGCCATGGCCATTGATCAGAACCCAATTTTCTTATGCTAAAACTAAGCATATTGAAATCAACTATCATTTTATTCAGGATCACATCCAACCCAACGAAATTACACTACAATATTTGTGTTTATTCAGGATCACATCCAACCAAACGAAATTACACTACAATATTTGTGTTCGGATGACCAGATAACATACATCTCCACTAAAGCTGTTCCTACTCCTAGATTTTGCACTCTTTGAACTAAGCTACAATATCTCTTCGAACTAAGCTAACAATATCTCTTTGAGGAATTATTAGTTTGCGGGGGGCTAATAACAAAGATGAATGATATATTTACGGGATTACTTGTGGGCTTCCTAATTATAGCTTAATTAGAGTACTTTTTATGTAATCTTCTATATTAAGCTTATTACCTATATATTCTATATAATCTTAATTACCTATGCGCGCGCGCGTGCGCACACACACACACACACACACACACACACACACACACATATATATATATATGTATGTATGTATACATACATACATATACATACATCTATATACATACATACATATACATACATATACATACATCTATACATATACATGTATGTATGTATGTATGTATGTACAAATATATGTATGTATATGTATGATATATATATATATATATATCTATATATACATGTATCTATATATACATGTATATATATATATATATCTATATACATGTATGTATATATAGATGTATACATCCATATATCTATATACATGTATGTATATATAGATGTATACATTCATATATCTATATACATGTATGTATATATAGATATATACATCCATATATCTATATACACATGTATGTATATATAGAATATATGTATGTGTATGTGTATATGTATGTGTGTATATATGTACACATACATCTATATATATATGTATACACACACATACATACACACATCCACACACAGAAACACGCACATATATATATTGTACATATAGATATATATATATGTATGTATCTATATACATGTATGTATATATAGAGATATATATATGTATGTATCTATATACATGTATGTATATATAAAGATATATATGTATGTATCTGAGATATATATGTATATGTATATGTACATGTATATATATGTATATGTACATGTATATATATGTATATGTACATGTATATATATGTATATGTACATGTATATATATGTATATGTACATGTATATATATGTATATGTACATGTATATATATGTATATGTACATGTATATATATGTATATGTACATGTATATATATGTATATGTACATGTATATATATGTATATGTACATGTATATATATGTATATGTACATGTATATATATGTATATGTACATGTATATATATGTATATGTACATGTATATATATGTATATGTACATGTATATATATGTATATGTACATGTATATATATGTATATGTACATGTATATATATGTATATGTACATGTATATATATGTATATGTACATGTATATATATGTATATGTACATGTATATATATGTATATGTACATGTATATATATGTATATATATGTACATGTATATATATGTATATGTACATGTATATATATGTATATGTACATGTATATATATGTATATGTACATGTATATATATGTATATGTACATGTATATATATGTATATGTACATATATATATGTACATATACATATATATATATATATATATATATACGTATACATGTACATATATATACATATACATGTACGTATACATGTACATATTATACATGTACATATATACATATACATGTACGTATACATATACATGTACATATACATGTACGTATACATGTACATATATACATATACATGTACGTATACATATACATGTACATATACATGTACGTATACATGTACATATATACATATACATGTACGTATACATATACATGTACATATACATGTACGTATACATGTACATATATACATATACATGTACGTATACATATACATGTACATATACATGTACGTATACATGTACATATATACATATACATGTACGTATACATATACATGTACATATACATGTACGTATACATGTACATATATACATATACATGTACGTATACATATACATGTACATATACATGTACGTATACATGTACATATATACATATACATGTACGTATACATATACATGTACATATACATGTACGTATACATGTACATATATACATATACATGTACGTATACATATACATGTACATATACATGTACGTATACATGTACATATATACATATACATGTACGTATACATATACATGTACATATACATGTACGTATACATGTACATATATACATATACATGTACGTATACATATACATGTACATATACATGTACGTATACATGTACATATATACATATACATGTACGTATACATATACATGTACATATACATGTACGTATACATGTACATATATACATATACATGTACGTATACATATACATGTACATATACATGTACGTATACATTGTACACGTATATATACATCTATATATATACATATGTACACGTATATATACATATATATATACATATGTACATACATCTGCTTGTATGTATATATGTATGTATGTGTGTATGTACATATAGATATATGTATATATGTATATCAACTGATCAGTTGGCCGGACATCTGCTTGTCAGTTGTACGTCCCCCCTTGTCTGGGGTTCGATTTCACATATATATATAATATTATGTGTGTGAGTGTTTCTGTAACTGTATTCATGTAATGTTTGGAGTAAAGCCTTTCTTCTTCTTTTCCGTATTCTGCTTCTCTTGCCTCTCCTTCCATTTTCTTTCAGAAATGACCTTAAATTCCTTTAGAACTGATCAACACCAAACAAGCAAGAACACCCAGAGAAAACGTGGTTAGAAAACAAAGACATTACCACAATGCAAAAGTCTGCCAATTAGTTATGTCAATCGGCACTGCCTCTTTGTTACAAAGTTGTAGCAGCAATCTCAAATTTATCTATAGGCTATGGCTACATGAGTGATGGCGCTTATAAACTACAACAAATCTTAAAAATTTCTTGTAATACTCAGTAACTCAAAAGCCCAAACTTACAAGTCGAGAGACACAGGAGCTTTATAAAAGAATGGCAAGCTTTTATGTTGAATCTGAGCAGCCTCCTCACTGCTAGCTTCTTTGGGATTAAAAATTGTGTTATCTTGAAGAGGAAGCCCTTGCTTGAGTCGTCCGGCTTGTCTGGAGTGCAGAACTTGGCTCGAGATCACTGGAGATCGAATAGACTGAAACTCCTGCAGCGCCATGCCCAAATTCTTCACCCCCCACTTCTTCAGACAGAGGCCTAAGACCTTAGCATCAAGAACAGACATGTTTGTGCTTCTGGAGCAGTGTGGTGTTATAGGATGAGCTGCATCACCCACCAAAACAACATTGCCCCAGAACAATTGAGGAAGAGGATCACTGTCATATATTACATTGATGAAAGGACTTTTTGTTTCTCTAATAAGCCAAGCAAGTTCGGAGCTCCACATTATGCTAGAATCCGCGTGCATCTTCTCAATCAACTCATGACTTGCCTTCAGGGTCACAGATCTCCCCTGCATAACATTTTAAAGAATCCTGCCATGTTTATCTTACTATATAAAAACTTATTATTCAGAGATAGCAGGCAGCTTGCCTTGATGTCAGGCTCTGGTGTGTTGAAGTACCATATCCAATTGAGCCGCTTGCTTCTGAGCTCAAAAAGAACACAATGGCTTCCATAAGCTAGATCAAAGTACAAGCATTTTCCAAGTTCAGGATAAGCTCTACGAATGGTGCCAATGGTGTCGGAGTCAATATTTTTTGAGAAATCATACACTCCTCTCCATGCTGAGTAACCAGAATACCTGTTCAAGTGCAGTAAAATAAAACCAGAGCAATAAAAGAAGAAAGAGGTTCAAACTTGATTGATCACTGCTTGCTAGCTTGTAACTTCCAACCTTAACTTGTGATCAGGAAGGAAATGTTGTCGAATCGTGGACATACTCCCATCAGCAGCAATCAATAAATCAGCAGAAAATTCCCTCATCTCATCAGTGTGCAGAACTTTGACTCTGATTTGAACTGAAGCTTTGTTTTCTGATATGCTTAGAGAGAAGAATTGATGACCCCACAGAACTATACCTGGTGGCAAAGCTTTGTATAAAAGTGAGTGCAGATCTTTCCAGTGGAAGCATCTGTAGTTGAAATTATCATCTCTAGCAACAGTCTGCATAACCTTCTTCTGTCCATCCAGAAACTGGAGCTGCATGAGAAGATAAAGGAGGATGAAGCAACCAACTAATAAGAAGTTAAGGGAATGAAATGGACCAGTTCAATGTCAACTGGCAAGGAGGCATCATTGAGGATGGCTGGATCTAACAACCAAGAGCTGACGATCTCCCTAGCCTGTGGGTCAAGGCTGAGACCTGCCCCTGTAGGACTGCCGGAAGATGGGGATGAAGACTTCTCTATCACTGTCAACTCCCAACCTGCGGTGATCAAGGCATGTGCACAAGAAAGACCTGCTATGCTGCCGCCGACCACCAGAGCCTTCCCTGGTGCTTCCCTCTCCGCCATTGAAAATCTCTTACTCTGTGGAGAGTAAATATATTAGAAAGGTGGGTCTGGAAGGAGAAGAGCTGAGTCTAGTTGTCAATTTGGCAGCTTTACGTTTTGTTTCTAGTTTACTCCTCCATGATGTCATGTTAATTGGCATGTGGTTTCCTTGCATTTGCTTGCATGATATAAGTAAACTGTTTTGCTTTGTTTTGTTTTATTTTGGAGTTTAGCACCAGCTTATGGATTGAATAGGACAAATGATTATACATTACAATATATACCAGTGGAAAAAAAAAGAATAAACTTAAAGCGAGACCATAAAAAAGAGAAATTTACATGTAATCATTATGCACTTGATTTAACACCTAAAATTTAATACTTATATTTATAACACTTGATGTTATAACACCTAATCTAATGAGAAGGATGCATAAAGAAGCACATATCCGGATTATTCTCTACCAATAGCAAAAAAAATCACAGTAGCAATCATTACATTGAATCAAAAGAATATGAGGTAAGTATAATCACAATCGGTATAGCACAATCTTTAACCAGCTTTGATCAGTTGATACATGACAGATGAGTGTTCTAAACTATGATAATGATAGAGCCATTCATTTTTTTATTTGGAAATATGGTAATGCCTATATCATTATATAATCATCAATCAATAAATAAGTGATGAACTCTACCAGTGCGATCAACTTATGAAAGAAGAGTGTTACATCATTTTTCTTATACATTGATACTCTGACATAAGAATAACCAGAGTATTTGATATGAAATTAAATTTTTAATATATTTCTTTTAAAAATAAAATAATCAAGCTATTTTGGGAAATTTACATACCTATCACACAATTTTATTTATGTGTACAAATTTTTATTTTCATCTTGACTATGGTTGTTTGGTATCATAACAGTCTGAAGATGATAATTCGATAAATCCAATGGTGTAATGCAATAGTGGCGACGACTGAGAAATGATAATCCAACATATCTATGATGGTGGTACAATGATGGTGGCCTGATGTCGATCTTATGATGGTGATATGACATCATAGTGGTGACCCAACGTCAATGATCTGGTGCAATAATGGCAACCTGGTGTCAGTGGTTCAACATGTTAGCGATGAAATGATCAGACATGTGATGGAGTTTCAGTGGTGATAACGACCACGATAATTGTGGTGGTCCAACATGGTGACATAATAGTGATGGGGGCTCAATGTCTATCGATTGATGGTGGGCCTGTGGCAACAACTGCCTTATAAAGTTGGCCGAACACAGAGGCGTTGGGGGCCTAGCATCAATGTTTGGCATGATAGTAATGACCCCGTGTAGGTAGTCTTGCATGACGAAGTTGGCCGGCCAAGTAATTGTGGTCCTACGACGACAATCAGATATGGCAATGGCCCTAGCTTCGGTGCATTGACATTGAAGCAGTGGCAGAATGTTTGCAACAATGACAGTTGTGATGGTGAAGCTACATCATTCCAATAATGGTGATGACTAGTAAGTAATGGTGGTCATTCGACCACTTTGGCTAGACAATGGCGAATGTGGCGGTAGAACAAAGATGGTCTGATGATGGTAACAATGACAGTGGTGGCAGCCGGGCCATAGTGATTTGACAATGGAAGAGGCAACCAAGTTGTTATGATTTTGCAATGGTAATGGCTAGATGACAATGATGACAACAGTTGGAAGTCAGTAGTCTAGTGAACGTGATAAAGTATATATTAATGTCTTAGCATTGTTTGAAAATCTAGTACACACAAATTTAAAAAAAAGTTGATTTAAGGGACAACATGGGGTTTTAGTGAAAATCCCGAAAGGACAAATGCCACAAAACTTAGCCTAGTTGAAAAGGTTCTATTTTTTAGATGTGTGCTATAAGACTTTATTTTTCTTTGAATAATAGAAAATAATATTACAAGAGTGAATGTTATCAGCTTAACTCGCACTAAAGCAGAGGCATACAAAATTATGAAGGAGATATTAACTCTATGATAACCACACTAAAGGAGAGGCAAATATTATGAAGGTGATAGCAACTCTACTATGATAACGGAAGATCAATTGCAACATTTGTGTAATGGAGTTCAGAATTCAGCATTAGCGTTGATGGAAGCCACTAGGCAGTAATGATTCGACAATAATAGCAGTGATAGCCAATCGATGGTGATCTGACGATGGCGGTTAGATAATAGAGGATTGACGATGTCTATTGTTTATGTGGAGCAATATTGGCCTGATGACAACTGTGGCAACATGCAAGCAATGATGTCCGCCACGTGCTTATGTTCCGATGATGACTAAGCGACACTAGTCCAATAATAGCAGGGGCTAGGACACTCTGATCCGACAATAATAGTAGTGGTGGCACAGTGATAGTGGCTTGGTGATGGTGGTTCGATGTCACCGGCGGCGACAAGGGTGACTGTTTGGTGGAGATTCGCTGTAATCATCACCATCTTTTATTCATTGTAATTATGTCCAGTACCATTACCATAGATTTTTGTGCTTTGATGTTGACATCTCAACGATGCTCTCGTGACTATTGTCACACAAGAAGTTCTATACTTTCGCCAAGCCATACTTAAACTACCATTAACATAGAATTAACCAACTAGATTTGCAGTATAAGTTGAAATATAATGCTGCAATTAACATAATATTTTTTTTTTCTTGAGTTCATCGACCGTTGACATTTGAGATATTTTAATAATATGATTCCACTCTCTTAACAAATGCACGAATGAAGCCGTCCGTAACTCGCAATTCATCATTAAAGCAAAGCATCAAACTTAATACTTTGCAACATAAACCTTAAACCAGTAATTACTTTGGAAATCACATTTGCATTGAATTTTAATAGATAAATTTAAAACTTGATTGCATACTTATCGCAAAGTCAGTACTACTTTTTTACATAAATATAGTCGCCTAAATCATATCTAAAACCAATGTCGATCTACTTTGAATTTCAGCACAAATAAAAATATAACCTATTATTTTTTGAAATTTTAGTTATTATGATGATTATGTTTACAAATCATGAAAATTTATGACGGTTGTTGCATGCCAGAAAATTTGTGGTGGTTGAGTAATAATTTAACACCTCAGTGTTCTACGAAAACTCAACACATGCATGGATAAAGATAAAATAATAGGAGAAGACACCATGATTTTTTACGTGAAAAATTTATTAAGGGAAAAATCACGGGGTTTAGCCCAGTTAAAATGATCCAATATAAGTTTGCAAATACAAAGATAGATTATTATCCTACAACTAGAAAATGTGTACAATGTTCTGCCAAGTATAACATTTGACAATACACAATATACTGAAAGATTAATTGTTTTCTTAAAATAGCTCTCAAGCGCAATTACCATTGAGAAATATTATCTGGTATTTAATACGTCATGTTCAAGATATATCGTTACACAGTAATTGAGATACTTTGTTACTCAACATAGTTCTTCGTTACTCAATAATCCTTTGTTACTTAACATGAGAATTTGTTATTCAATAGAATACTTCATTACTCAACCTTTGTTACTTAACATGAGAATTTGTTATTCAATATTCATTACTCAGCAGAGTTTAACAACAACGTCTAGTAGGGGGCGACCGGTGATGGTTGACGGCGACCAGCGGGCGGTGGTTAAAGGTGGTCGATCTACCACTACAGAGGCCATAAGTTATTGCCGAGTCTTCTGTCATGAACAACACTAGAATTAGGCTTCTTTCCTTTCCCTCAAGTGAAGAGAAGGGGTCTCACTTTGACAAATACTCTCATAACCACCCGATCGAATGACCCACATTGATTCTCTTTAATCATTGGTGATTTTCTTATGATCTGATGGCCTTAATGACCTCATAATCGAGTAATTGTAAGCTCGTTGGATTCCTCTCTTCGAGAGGCTTGATTTAGTATAGGTATGTAAAATTTAGAGTTCATTTGACTCTTCAATTAATCATCTAAAACCTTCAAAAGAGTTCAACTGCTTGATTGAGGCTTGATTTGTATCAATTTTGATATCATTGTGCTTGTCTTGTTGAGCCTGTCAGTTTGACAATTTTGTTAAAATTGTAGCTCTAGTTGATTTTCAACTGATATTGAAATTTTTTTCTCCAAAAATGCTTCGAGATCCATGCAAAATGCCTCAAAATTCGTGCCAAATGGAAAAAATTAGCCGAAGATGCATCAATGGTAATTGGTAAATAAAATTAAATTCAAGACGAGTCGACTTGATCAAAGCATTTTTTTGTTTCAAATAAAAAAGATTACAAGATAGCGGCCAAAGGTATGGAACGTAAATGACCGAACCTGAGACAAGAAACTTGAAAAAGTATAGGAAAACTAAATTTTACATCTTCATGAAAAAATATGATAACTTTGGAAATAAATCAATCACTGAGAACCAAATAATCAAATTAGCCGGATTTAATTCAAAATTATTTGAAATGCTTAAGGTCTATGATGTCAAAGAAATCAAATAGAACAATAACATAAAAAATATAAATTAAACAACTAAATTCAAGCTATAAATTTGTAAAAGCTTATATTAAGCAATATAAATCAATAAGAAAAAAAAAATCTATAATAAATTAAGTATACAAAAAATGTAAGAAAAAAAAGGGAAAAAACTAATTTGATTTGAAATTTACAGCTTTCAATGTAATTTAAGAAGTAGAAATAAGCTTTGTGAACCCTAACAATTAGATATTTTGATTTATAGCTTTACTATAATCTTATACTATAATGCATAACTAAATATTACATAGAATGCAAATAATATTGTATGAACTCTTAATAGTTATCAGGCGTTTCATATCTTCATCTCATGATTAATAATATTATATAATAACTATCCATTGTGTAACAAAGAGAATTGCAAAAAATGAGATCTAATTTAATTAACTCATGTAAAAGACTTAAGGATAAGAATTAATTTGATTTACTATTTAGAAGTTGCATTGTATTCACCAGAAGTTGTGTAGGCCATATACAAGAAATGCAAATAATATTGTATGAACTCTTAATAGTTATTAGGCGTTTCATATTTTCATCCCATTGTGTAACAAAGAGAATTGCAAAAATCAGATCTAATTTAATTAACTCATGTAAAGATTTAAGGATAAGAATTAATTTGATCTACTATTTAGAAGTTGCATTGTAATCACGAGAAGTTGTGTAGGCCATATACAAGCTACCCATGTCACCAAGTTCTGCTCTGCTGCGGTTTTAGAACTGTCAAAAGCCTTCCGTCCAGTTATCAGCTCCAAAACAAGCACGCCAAAGCTATATATGTCAGATTTCATGGTTAACTTACCACTCATAGCATAATCTGGGGCACAGTAGCCATAAGTGCCCATCACTCTTGTTGAAACATGCGTATTGTCACCAACAGGCCCGATTTTGGCCAAACCAAAATCAGAGAGTTTTGGGTTAAAATCATCATCCAACAAGACATTAGCAGCTTTCATGTCTCGGTATATAACAGGTGGATTTGCAACATCATGAAGATAAGCCAGCCCGTGTGCAGAACCAAGAGCTATCTTTATTCGAGTATTCCAGTCAAGTAGGGCTACAGCAGGAGGTCTACCTGCAACAAAAAAGGACTAATAAAACTTTGTCAACGCTGCAAGCAGACTAAGAAATGAAATATTGAAGATGTAACAGGGAAAAGGAAAAGTAAAACAGAGAAAATATTATTCAATCTCTAGTCACAAACAAACACACAACCCAGTATAAAGAAGTACATAAGTTTATAAAAACATAACTGAATAAATACAACGGTGGAGATAAACAGAGAATTCATATTATATTATTTAATATTCCCCCTCAAGTTAAAGCTTGCGGAATGATGATATAGTTAACGATTTGGTGAATATATCGGCTAATTGATCATATGTAAAAATATAAGTGAGAACCGAATCCTTTAATTGTATGTGCTCCCTTATGAAATCATAATCAATTTCAATGTGTTTTTTATGAGCTTGAAAAAAGGATCATGTACAGTAGTCATGGAGGCATGCTGTCATAGTGGATAAAAGTAGGTTACTCAATAGATATAGAGAAATCTTGAAAAAGCCGTCGCGGTCATGTAACATCAATTGCTATTGAGACAGGCGCTCCATACTCTGCTTTAATGGAAGATCGAGCCCCTATAGGTTGCTTCTTGACAGACCAAGTGAGAAGATTAAGAGCAATGATTGAATAATACATGGTAATCGATCTTCTATCATTTGAATCGCTAGCCCAACTTGAATCAGAGTATGTGTGAAAGAGTGAGAGGTCTTGCTTGTGATGGCAATCCAATGTCGAGAGTCCCTTGAATATATTGAAGAGGTCTTTTGAGATTCTGATAATGGACGTTGAGAGGTTAATGAAGGTGTTGAGCGACAAAATTAACAGTAAAAGTAAAATCGGGTTTTATGATAGTTAAGTATTGTAAGGAACAAATTAGTTGTTTGTAAAGAGTAGGATGATTGAATAGCTCATTAAAGTCAAAATAAAGTAAAAAGGAGTGAGTCATAGAATTGGTAACAGATTTACATTCAGTCATTCCAGCTCTATGAAGAATTTTTCTTGGCATAAGATGTTTGATTGAGATGAATTCTATAGGAAGTATGTTGTATATTACTGCCTAGGAATGTAGATATGGGTCCAATAATTTAAACAAAAATGTGTTATGAAGATTTGTTACAAATTTTGAAGAGTATATGAGTCGTTTCTGGTCAATAAGATATCATCAGCTAGTAAAAGGAGATAAATACAAGTTTGTTGATTTTTGTAAATGAGAAGAGAAGGATTAGCTTGACTATGAGTGAAACCATATTTGACAAGATGACTGGTAATAGTGTTATAAGATTGTAGTGGAGCTTGTTTAAGGCTGTAAATGGATTTTTTCAGTAAACACATATGATTAGGATGATTAGGACCAATGAAACCTGGAGGCTGACTTATATACACAATTTCTTGAAGTTGGCCATTTGAAGAACTGACCACTTATGATGAAGAGCAACAATTAACATAAGTCAGATTCTATGAAGTCTACCCTCAAAACCGAAGGTTTCAGTATAGTTAAGACCAAACACTTGTTGATAACCTTGAGCCACAAATTTGGCTTTACACCTAGCCACAGACCCGTCTTGATGCCATTTGATTTTGTATGCTCACTTACTACCCAATATGGGCTGATAGGCAGAGGAGTTAGAATCCAAGTGTGCTGAGAGGAGAGCCTGAAATTTAGAATTCATAGTGTCCTGCCACTATGAATGTTTTAAAGCTTGTTTGAAATTGAAAGTACCAACTCCCAACCGGCTTGTTTCCACTGTCGCTCACCTTAACTCATTTTCTAGGTAAATATCCAATGTAGGATCTAATGAGTTGATGTAAGCGACAGTGGAAACAGACCGGTTTGTTAGAGGAGATGAAGGTTGGGAGTTGATAAGGGTGGGTGGCTGATTATTGACAGATTGAAAAAGTGACTTTGCAGGAATTGTGTTCGGTAGAAGGAGAAGAGGTGTGGTGGTAGTATTATGTGGAAGTGAATGAGAAGGAGAAGAAGATTGCTTGTAGGGAGGAAAGCTAATTTCATAAAAAATAACATGTCTAAAAATAATTCTTCGGCCGATGTTAGGATTGAAGTATTTGTAGCCTTTGGTGTTAGTAGGATATTTTAGAAACACACAAGAGGGAGTCCTTTGCTGGAGATTATTCCTTTGAGATTGAGGTAACTAAGAAAAGCATTCACAACCAAAAACTTTGAGGTGATTGTAAAAGAGTTGATAGGGAGATTGAGAAGACTTGGTTTGTGATGGTAACCGATTGATAATATAGATAGCTATAATCATAATTTCCTGCCATAGGGAAGAAGGAAGTTGTGAATCAGCCAATAGCGCTCTTGTGGTTTCTAACATATGACGATGCTTTCTTTTAATAATTTCATTATATTCAAGAGTGTAAGGGCATGCATTTTGATGAAAAGTATCATGATTGGTAAGAAACTTAATTAATTGAACGTTGTCATATTCACCACCTCCATCAGTTTGTAGAATTTTGGCGCGTTTTTCAAGTTGCAACTCTATTTGTTGCTTGAAGTTAATAAAATGTGAAAGAACTTTCTATTTGTAATTCATTGGATAAATCCATGAGCACCTTGTAGCATCATCAACAAACAAAACATAGTAACAATACCCTTGGATGAAAGGAGTAAATATTATATTATTTATTAAAGAAACATATCTTCTTAGCTTGGAGAAAATATTGCATCTATATAATCGGGCGTTCGAATGATGGCATGGATTGCACCACACCCTGTGCACAGCAGCATGCTGTTTTCTCTTAAGCTAGAGCTCTAAACTCCTAGATTACTAATTATATTTATGTTAAGTGACCGGTTAAAGATTGTAGTGAGTTTAATTGGAACACGAAAAATGCTATTTATTTTTTTCCTGAAACCAAAGCTAGAAAATAATCATAATTCTCATGTTTTTTTAAAAATTCACTCCATATAATTTTATAATTAATATTTTTTTCAATTTATGTATAAAATCCACAAATAACTTCTTATTTTTCACTAAAACAAGTGATTATTTTGAAGTTTACATGCAGTAAGAATTACATGCGATGTACTCATATTTAATCTAAAAGAACACAACTAAATCCTTATTTATATTTTTCACCTACTAACTATTTAAAAAATGATTTAATATTTACTTAACAAAATGTGCAATCTCTAATGAAAGAGAAAAAAATTATGTCTAATTAATCATAAGTGCGTTCAACGGCGGGGATCACATCATACCGTATGTTTGACAACGTGGTGCGATCCATAGTAACGTGCGCGCACACGCCGTGCATTTGGCGACATGATGCAATCCGCACCGTCCTCCACATATCCGTCATCCATATATAATATTTTGTTCTAATAAAAACAAGGCTTCCATATCACAAGAAGGCTGAAAACAAAAGAATAGCATAGCCAAGTAATGCCTGCCATCTGTAAATAAATTCATTATTAAAAATATGATTTTTATGCTTTTTTTAATAACGTCATTGGTAGGAGCGAGCCATTACCGGCATCCCCTCTCATCAGCGAAATTCTCGTCTAACGCGTCCGTAACTGTCGCAGAATCTGATGAAATTTTCTGATGTATGAAAACAGCCAGCTCATGGCTTTCAGATTAGACGCTAACGGCAGCAGTAGGAGACGGGAAGAGGAGGAGCTCGCCGGACTTCTCCGTCTCAGGTAAAGTTCTGAGCCCATCGCAGACCACTTTAAATTTGGAAGCACTTTAATGTAGTACATACATTTATAATTTATCGTTTTATTTTGAGATTCATATTCTTTATAGGATTTTTTATTTTTCATTGATTTTTAAAATATGTTTTAAGTGCATTTTCAGTCAATTTGAGACCAAATTAAGGTAGGACTGACCTGTGATGCAAATACACACATATTGATGTAGGTGTACGTGTCGATCAAGTTGTTTATGAATTTTGAGTCCAAGTACAAGTTCATAGGGAATGAGGTTGCTTCTTAAATTAAGTTAAATTTTATCCTAAGAGTGCTAGTTTTATCTAATGGAAATAGTTTTCAATGTTAGTTTTGGATATTCTAAAGAAAACAAAAGACAAAAGATTTGTAATTCTATTTAAGCTTTTAATAGAAAACTCCTTTTGAGTTAGTATAGTGTTTAGGCTTAGATCTAATTCAAGTTTTTCTAATATAGTTGTGATATGCTTGAAATATTGTGAATCACTAGGAACGATGCATATATGTCGATCAAATAATATACGGATTTTAGTCGGTGCGTTGATCCCACAAGGAACGGGTTAACTTTCGAAAATAGTAAAAGTTCTAGTCTACTAGGTTCAAGTTCATCTTGAAGAATTAAAGTTTGGAGATCTCTTGAAGACTTGCACACTTCCAGACTTGTCTGGAAGTCTGAAAGTGTGGATGAAACCTGAATATACCAATCCCCCTTCAGAAAATTCTCCCCAAACTTTTCGATTATGCCAATTTAAGCCTTCGCCCGATAAACAATGTGCATTGAAAAATCTAAACTGTAATCCTACATCTACAAGCGTCTGGAATCCCGTTGCTTTATTTTCAGGTAACAAGGCGTCTGGGTCACTGGTTTCGAGCGTCTGGGCACCCAATACTAGAGCATGGGCACTAGTTCTGCCCAAGACTAGCTTGTGGGCGCCGGGTCTGCTTGGTTCATCCCGTTTTAAGTCTGTTTCATTTTTTTTCTCCTATGTTACATAATCACATGTACACTGCATATACAATCACAAGCACAATGAAAAATATAAAAAAGACACAAATATTATAAAAATAATATTAAAATATCATGCACATTCGATATAAATCAAGTTGACAATCAAGAATAGAAATACTCCTTATTTTCTTTTGAGATATTAAGAACTGTTGAAGATTCATATTACAGTTTAGTGCCCTATACCAAGTAAACTTTTCCAGAAATCTGTATTTCCCAATTGATTTAACTTTTCTGATAGCACTATACATATTGTACCATGAAAATGCGAGTTAGATTAGTTGTTCCAACTAGTTTAAAATATCAAATGACCATTTTAAAAGTACATGGACCTTATAAAATTAAAACATCAATAAATCATGTTTAAAACTAAATAGATCTTGAATAGTTGAAAATCATAACACAATCACCAGCAAGAAGAAATTTAGGACTTTGCTACACAACTTGATTACAATTAACATTTGAAGAAAGATTCAAATCTAAACACAAGT